CAGATCTAACTACACGCTTACAATCCACAGTTAGTAGATTACAGAGGACAGATCCATACATAACAAGATCATTCTGTGTGATTTAGGCCCACAGGTGCATTTCAATCGCAAAGATTGGGAAGCGTCTTGACCTAATCTCATTGGAGGGTCAACTGGACCTGCTTTTAGGCAGATTGGCACAGATCCTACGTTTTATTTCCCTGCCTCCAAGAGTCCAGTCAGATCCCTTTCATCCACAATCACACACCGCTGCAATAGCTGCACCCAGCAGTTAGGATGTTTCCTCATTCACTCTCACTACACAATTTTATGTCAGTTATCCTGTTCATAATCATCTCATCAAAGTGTTAGTAAAGACAAAAGGTAACAATGACATTGGACAAAGCTTACTAGTCTAGGTATCTCAGACAACATGGAAGATAGACATGAAAACGAAGAAAGATGTAAATAATTCTCTGTATTCCACACAAGAAGTAACATTTACCTAAACGTTCAGACTTCCTCCATTTGTTTCGTTTTGCGGTGTTGCTCCGGCACTTATTCACTTGGTTCTATCTAAGATTATAAATGTAATCAGTGATAATAACCTTTTGTCTATACAGGAATTCAGCCAATCCTCATCCAGATATTACCAATAGTGTTTATACCAAAGGATAACAACTGGGAAAATATAGAGATCTTATTTACTTACACAGAAAGAAGCTTGCTATGAATGGAATATAACAAAATATAATGCAGCCGGTATAACTGTAAAAGTAGTAATATTACAATGCAAATACAGAATGTTACCAATACAAAGAGACTACAGGAAAGAATGTCACCGATACAAAGAGACTACAGGAAAGAATGTCACCGATACAAAGAGACTACAGGAAAGAATGTCACCGATACAAAGAGACTACAGGAAAGAATGTCACCGATACAAAGAGACTACAGGAAAGAATGTCACCGATATACAAAAGAATGTCACTACAGGAAAGAAGGAAAGAATGTCACCGATACAAAGAGACTACAGGAAAGAATGTCACCGATACAGGAGACTACAGGAAAGAATGTCACCGATACAAAGAGACTACAGGAAAGAATGTCACCGATACAAAGAGACTACAGGAAAGAATGTCACCGATACAAAGAGACTACAGGAAAGAATGTCACCGATACAAAGAGACTACACACCGATACAAAGAGACTACAGGAAAGAATGTCACCGACAAAGAGACTACAGGAAAGAATGTCACCGATACAAAGAGACTACAGGAAAGAATGAATGTCACCGATACAAAGAGACTACAGGAAAGAATGTCACCGATACAAAGAGACTACAGGAAAGAATGTCACCGATACAAAGAGACTACAGGAAAGAATGTCACCGATACAAAGAGACTACAGGAAACCGATAATACAGGAAAGTCACCGATACAAAGAGAGACTACTACACCGATACAAAGAGACTACAGAAAGAATGTCACCGATACAAAGAGACTACAGGAAAGAATGTCACCGATACAAAGAGACTACAGGAAAGAATGTCACCGATACAAAGAGACTACAGGAAAGAACGTCACCGATACAAAAAGAGACTACAGGAAAGAATGTTACAGGAAAGAAACATAGAATAATACATTACGCAGAGATCCTGATGACTGGGCTTCCAAAGAGAGGCAAGAGGGGCAAAGAGACAGAAATGTGAGCAATGGCATACTTTATACCCCCTCCCCCCTCCATTCCAGGCAGTCACACCCTTCAATAGGTTCCAGTATTTTGCTATTTCTCTTCAATGGGGGGCTCTGTGATTTGTCAAAGACATTGGCCAACTTTAGTTCATCAGATGGAATTTAGGATAGGCCAATGTCCAGCGAAGCGTACCTCCTCTGAATTCAGTTCCCACAGGACAATCTATGACATCACTCCCTAGGAGGTGTTAGAAATGACGCCTCCAGGGATTATTCAGCCAGATGGCCATACTGTCATAAATCTCTACAGGAAAACATCTAAGGGGGGTGCTGAGGTGATGCAACAGATGGGAAATAAGTTACAGGAATTGAGACCCCTATCAGAAGTTCACAATAATATTAAAAATTATTGTAGGTATAAAATATCTATCACAACATGTCTAGGAGATAGGTGGGGTGGGGGTTGTGGATTGTTTGGTGTTATGTGGTTGCATCCCATTGTTCTATTGTGTGTCTTGCTTGGGAGCAAACTATTATGGGAGGTATGTGTTTATGTATGGGCTTAGTGGAGGGTGTCTGCAGCAGCCCTCCTTACTGATGGGACTGTCTGCTGGTGTGAAGTTTGAATACCTGTGTGTCTCTTCTTACTAATTGTAGATTGCCCCACCCTGTGTCATTATGCAGGGAGGGGGGATTGTCCCCTGAGTGTATATATCTTGTATCTGTGTTCAAATAAAGTAGCCTACTTTCTGGCTTACTTCAAATCTGTGGTGTCTGTTGTCGGTGTTCAGATGGGGAAGCGGTATTCTAACAGAAGTACTCAGCGCAGACTGGGACGGTTCCATTACAATGCCCATTATGGACAAGAGCCCCCCCATGATCCTTTGTATACACAGAGCTGAAGAAGGGATTTCATACATTGTCCTTCTCTTTGTCCCCAGTCACCCCCTCTAGGTGGTTCTGTAAAGGGCCTACATGCTGGGACCGGACCTGATTTGTGTGACAACTTTGTCTTTCATGAATCCATGTTGTCTGTGGCTTACAATATTTGTTTCCAGCAAGAACTTCAGTCTCTGTGGTCTTTTATTAAACTCTCCAGTATCTTCATTGTTAACTATAGAAGTTACATCTAACAGGTTTATAATTACCTGGGAATAGATTTTTGACCCTTTTATAAATATTGCCCCACATTGGCCTTACACCAATCCAGTGGTACTATGCCAGTCATTAAAGAGTCCCTAACAATGAGAAACAATGGCTGTGTGGGTCAACAGTCTTTTTGAAGAACTCCCATGTTTGTGTTCATGACAGAGCTGAATTCTTTAAGGCCCCTGTGGGTGTCTGCCATCCGGTTTTGGGGCTTTATACTACCTTTATTTCTGTACAAATATTTCTGCATCATATCAATTGTGAGCCAATGTGGATCATCGCTGGGGGTTGTCAGTACCACCCCATTATGGACAAGAGCCCCCCCCATGCTCCTTTGTATACACAGAGCTGAAGAAGGGATTTCATACATTGTCCTTCTCTTTGTCCCCCCCTCTAGATGGTTCTGTGGTCAGGGCCTACATGCTCGGACCATTGGGACCTTTCTACTATTCATATATTGGAGGAATGTTTTTTGGGTCGTCCTGATATCTTTCTGTCGTTTGTTTTCAGTTTTTGCTCCTTTATTTCCTTTTGCATATTCTGTTCTATTTATCTTCCTAGTAATGTGTAAACGATGATCGCGTTCCTTCATTGTTATATGTAATAAAAGCTCTTTTTTATTATATCTATCGCTTTTGTAACTTTGGCCGTAAGCCACATAGGTTGGATTTGTAGCCTTTTATACTTTGTTGCCCATTGGAATATATTTTGCAGTGTGGTCACATACAGTCTTTTTGAAGAACTCCCATTTCTGTGTTGTGTATTCATCTGAAGATGCCAATATATATTCCCTCCCAGTCTAAGTCCTGGAGAGCAGCTCTCAGCCTTGGAAAATTAGCTCTCTTAAAATTGAGCATTTTTATTTTTCCCATATGTGCTTGCTGTTTACAGCTAACAATAAATGAAATCATGTTATGGTCACTGCTACCCAGATGTTCTTTTATATGGACATTCGTAATAAGCTCTGCATGGTTGGAGATGACCAGGTCCAGCAGAGCATCATTCCTACTTGGGGCCTCTATGAACTGGACCATAAAATTGTCCTGTATTACGTTTATATATTTTTGCCTTTAACTGTTCCTGCAATCCCATTACTCCAATCACTTTCCGGGTAGTTACCATCCCCCATTATTATCACTGTCCCAACCCTTGCAGCCCTCTCCATCTGTGCGAGGAGCTGAGTCTCCACCTCCTCATTAACACTGGGAGACCTATAACAAACTCCAATGATGCCCTTTGTAGTACCGCCCCCCATGTGCAGTTCCACCCATAATACTTCAGCCTCATCACACTCTCCATCAACTAGGTCCTCTTTCACACTCGCTCTGAGATCACTTCTCACATAGACACAGACACCACCACCTTTCCTATTTCCCCGTCTCTCCGAAAGAGAACCTAGCCAGGAATATGAATGGCCCAGTCATGTGAGGAATGAAGCCAAGATTCAGCAACACCAATTCAATCCTAGTTCTCTTCATGCACCAAACCTTCCAACTCACCTATTGTGCTGGGCACACTTCTGGCATTGGTGAACAAACACTTTCATTCACTGACACTTTGTTCACACGGATTTTGTGTATTTTTTTTTATTTTTATACAAATGGTACCAATTCCACTGGTTGTCTGTAACATGGGAACTTTTTAATCATCTGCCATAGCCCTCCCCCCATCTTTCCCCATTCCACCCCCCAATAAGTACTGACCCCTGTCTAATCTGTGTACCCAGTTATAATTGAATTATCCCTCCCCCCTAGTTTATTATATAGTCCTCCAGACTTCCCATAAACCCCTCCCCCAGCACAGCAGACCCCCTTCCATGTAGGTGCAAACCATCTCTAGTATATAGGCTGCAACCCAATGAAAAGTCAGCCCAGTGCTCTAGGTCAGGACTCCATTTTTATTCTTCTCCTGCTATCAATGGCTGTCCAGTCCCACACTTCATCCATGTCTTTGGGGGCCTCTGGTCTCCTTATGGACTGTTTCTTCCATGATGATCAGCCATGGAGTATATCTGAGGTGTATATCAGGGTGTGCTTCTTCCCCACATGAGAGCTGGGATGTCCAGCAACATTCATCTAGAAGACATTTCCCGCACTCAAGGCACTAATACACCTCCAGGGTTGTGTGGCACCCCTGATGTACAGGAAGACAGGACTTCAGTGAAGAACATTTCCTTCACTCAGGACAAGAAAGTGGCTTCTCTCCTGTGTGATAGCTCTGATGTCTGTAAAGATTGAACTTATCTGAAAAACATGTTCCACACTCAGAACAGGAATACGGCTTCTCCCCCGTGTGAGATCTCTGATGTCTGTAAAGACTGGACATTGTTGAAAAACATTTTCCACACTCAGGACACGAATAT